ACTGCAAATATTTGAAATGTCAATCCATTTGATAATGTCAGTAGGCCTTAGAAAGCAGACTCTGCACTAAAGGCAGCTCACACCACCCAATATTAGCAGCTCTCTCTTCCCTTGCCCCCCATTTTCTCTCTTTTCCCTGTTAACTAATCCCTCTCTGTGGCTGCTTCAGTCCAGATTACCAGCAGAAAGCAGGGCGCAGAGTGGACAGGCCACAGATGGCTGCTCAGCCCTCTGTAGCCCACAGTGGAGCAGGTAATAGAGGTTTTAATAAGCCACAGCAGGACATTTACCTCAAAATATCATGATGATATATTAACGGGCCCATGCAGAGAAGGTAATTGTTAGATTGAGGGAATCTCATTAAATATCGGCGCAAAGGTGTGACAGGAGAAAATTCAATAATAGGTTCAACTGGTGACCTCAGACGTCTGGATGCATGTAATGTAATGGTAGTGTGTGTGTGCTATCATGCAGATATGAAATATTGTATTTCAATTATCATTCCATGCCTTCTCAGTGCAATATACTTGATCTAAGAACATTTGCCAATTCTAACAAGAAAAGCTACCTCATTCTAGTCCACATGTTGCATTTACAGCTGCAGATTTTGCTGTTTAAAAAGAGAATCACGATAAACTTTTCATCTCACCGATTTGAGTCTTAACCTATCATGATTTAATTATTGCAGTCTATCTTTAGATTCGCTCTAGTAACTTTTCTGTTCTCCAACTTTTTCTTGAATATGGTTTAAATGACCAGCGTGTACTTGGAAAGAAATAAGAATATAAATCAACTCAAATAAACAAAAATTGCAGTATTTGCTTGTATTAAAAACAGCAACTTTTATGATATTGTTGGAATAATAACTGTATGGAAAAGAAGATACAGAGACATTTTAATTACATGACTTTCAGATTTACATAGTGGGTCATTTATTTAAAGCAAGGATCTTTCATTTTGTGTTGATTCTGGCAGCCCCTGTGGACAAAAGCGGTAATGTTTCTACTGCCTTGTTTCACTGATTTCGGGGGAAATTTTACCCAGTGACAGGCAGTGGCGGGGCCAGACAATTTTCATAGGGGTGGCCAGACTGAGACCATAGCTCACACAGGGGTAGCACAGAAACTGATATCATCTTTTTTTTTCCTATGTGGCAAGTCATTGTGGATCTAGTAGTGTTTCTTAGTCACTTACTTAAACAGGCAGTGATTGCCATGTAGAATTACATCATGAAGATCCACATAAGCTTTTTAATGTATTCCTAAACTGATTTTATGATGATGATTTTTTTTACCATTATGGGCAAGCATTTCAAAAATATTCCTTTGCAATACTTTGCGTATTATCATTTGGCTGCCAACTGCCAACAAAACATTTTTTTAATTCCCTTTCAAGGATATGACACAGACAGACCACCACCATTAAGCTAAATCAGCAATGAAAGTTGGCTTTACTTTTAATGGCCTTCTACAACGCTCTTTTAAATGACACTGACACAGTGAAACTGTTTATAGCTTGACACTTTCATACTGCTAAGTTAACAGCCTAAATTAACTTAGCAAACTTTGCCATGTCTGTTTCAACTCCAGCACNNTTTCAAACATAGTGAATAAACTTAATTCTGCTTGTTAACTTACCTGTGACCTCTTCTCTGGCGGGAAACAGACAGTCCTCCTACTGCACGCGCAAAGTCCCTTGGAGCAAACGCGAACAACAACAACAACAACAACAACAACAACAACAACAACAACAACACTACTTCTTCTTCTTCTGTAATTGTGTTGGTTGGTGAAATTCAAGTTGAGTGTATTACCGCCACCTTCAGTTTGGGTGGAGAAGTACTTGTTTGCGCTGTTGAAATGTGTCCATATGGGACACATATGTAACTTGTTCCATGGAGAATGGAGCCGGTGTCCCAGCTCTGGTCTCTGCACAATCTCTTGTTTATGACAGAGAAGACTACACACATACACGTCATAATGATAATCCATCGATCCACTGATCGATTGACCGAGAGGAGGGTGAGCAAAGAGGAAAACAAACCGGACAGATCTATACGCCAGTTGACACAATTTATAAATCGATAAAAGTAGTATTTTGATCAACATTATGTCTCAAATTAAATATTTCATATTTTGCAGGTCAGTGCTAATTAACTAGCACAAGCCAACTTCTAATGCTAGTAATACTAGCACTTTAAATAGTACATTGTATGAAATAAATATTGGATATACACGTTATTGACTTTACCTGTGATGCTTCACCTGAGCTGGCAGCCAGCTGTGGCTTTGGCGCATGCGCGTTTGGAAGAATCGGGCTTCGATTATTTTCCCCTGTGACCTACGTGACGTCATTTCAACACTTTTCCACTGGTAGCCACCACAGACATATATGGTAGCCACCACAGACATATGGTAGCCACAAACTTGAATTCGTGTTCACAGTGAACACTTGTAGTCGTAGAAATTAGAGTTGTATTCACAAGACTTTGCACTTACAGCTTTTATATTCATACTCACATAAACACAATCGAACACAAACTATTTCTCAGACTGTAAATATAAATCTGATTCTGATTCACTGAAACTAAAATCCAACATTTGAATCAATAAAAAGTAACTGCGCTGTAAACTGACTGAAACTGAACTGAGCTGAACACGAAATAAAAAAAGAACTAATGAAAACTACAGTAGTATAATAACTGTGCAGACCACAGCCTCCATAGGAACCACTGAGCTGCTTCCACTGTGTGTTACACTGGTGAGTCCAGCAGGTGGCACCCTCTGGGTTCTGTACTGAACTGTCTTTACTTTCACTTTGGTCGATGGCGCAGTAAGAATCTACTGCTGGTGAGTGAACTCAAACTAAATAAGTGATAGATGAATAACTCTGTGTAGGTTATTAGACCTGTGTTATTATAATGTCTTTAATGTTCTGATAATGAAACGGACGATGGCGGATTTAATGATCAACTGGCGCTAAACAAATAGAACTGATTCTCAAACTGTTTGCGGTGATGAAACATTGCACAACAATAAACAAACATTGCATAACAATAATAAACATAATCGCAAATAAAATCCTGATCGATATAGTTCACATTATACTGTATACAGACTGCACACCGGTATGTGGACTCAGCTGTGGGACAGAATCTGCTGGTTTAGGACGGAAATGGATCAATAGGCCGTGTATGTAGATGTTATCAGATTGTGAATTTAGAGATCTATTGTGATTAAAACTGTCTTATTCAGCTGTAAAGTGACCTGCTGCACTGCAGAGACCCCAGTAAACCCCTTACTGCCATCGTCTAATGTACAATAAAGTAAAGTTTTATTTCTGCCAGGTTACTCTGAATATAGAGAATATTGCTGCTGCTGCTCACTGACAGGTGAATGCTGCCTGTTGGACAGCTGTCTGTTCACTATCTGTCTTCACCTGCAGAAGTTCTTCTTCTGTGGTTGAATGCTGTAAATTCTGGACATTAACAAGAAGCAGGCTGTGTATGTTTTCATTAGTGTTCCAGTGCAGATAAGCAGCACCCAGCCCCTGCTGATATAATAAGCATTCACTTTTTCAGCCCTGGAATCTGCTAACACTGCAGGTTTATCTGTCAGTTAAACTAAAGGCTGTCATCTAAAGCATTACCCCCACCCTCTTTTCTATCATTCAGTATATTATTTATATTTCATATTATATTCAAAACTATACATCAAACTCAAACAGTGAACTCAGTAACTGCAAGAAAACGAGTGATTTGGGTGAATTTTGAGCAGATTATTTCCTGTTTTTTAACAATCATACAGACTTAAGAGGCTTCTTTTGGACAAATTCAGTGTTTTCTTCTCCTTGACATTTGGTCATTGTTCTATTAGACAATTTACCTTACAATTACTATTCCTCACAGAAGTGAACCAAATGTTGAGATGTAGGCCTACTGTGATGATGTGCAGGTGAAGTGAGTGTCTCTTAGTTATTCTTTATAATACTCCAGAGAGGTTAATGATGACAGGATCATAATATTTCATTTGAACCAGTTTTATTTAACATTAACCCGTCTGCTGAAGGTGATTTATAGTGTGGGCACAAAATGAATTGTTAAAACACATTTAATTACACACAATAAGCACAAATCCCAGAAGACCTCCACATACATGCTCTACTACATTTATCATGAAAACATACAATATAAGTTGTAACACTCCTACATGGGTTGCTTTAAATGTTAAAAGACTAAAAGTGTTATTGTGAATAAACATTTAATGTCCTTTTAAGTATAAAATTAGCTTTTGCTGTAAATGTCCACCTGAGATTCTTAAAACAGAGCAAGAGAAAGCGAATTGGTATTGTACCAACTGCAATAATTGGTATTGGACTATAAACCTACAGTTGGCAAACAGTAACATGGCACTAACTGAGTCAACTGCAGAAAGAGAAGTAGCTCCAGGTTGGTAAAGACGTCCTACAGACTGATTTGTTCAAAAGAATGAGACCCATTTTCTTTTCTTTGTGTTTAAAAGTTTTTGAAACCGGCTGTTGGTTTCCAGCTGAGCTTCTTCTGGTGTCTCCACACAGTGACAGTATGGCAGCTGCTGCAGAATCTGGTGAGTACCGTCAGATTGACAGCAGAAATATGCATTAGCTCTGACTTAAATGTCTAGATCCTGTGTTCTGAGTTCTCTCTGAGCAGACAAACGTTCACCCTCACCCGTCTGCTGTAAGACCAAATCTATACCACCAGCTGGAGACAGCATTAAATATTCAATAGTGTTTTTCTGGGTTGGTAATAGTATAGTAGTAATATAATAATATTGATGTCACTATGTTCCTGAGAGTACTTCCAATGGGTCATTGTTACAGAGTATCTTAATGTTTCATCCGGCCCTTTCGCTTTGTTTGCTTTGATGCCTTCCAGATGTTTACCTGCAGACTGGGTGGAGGCTGCCCGTTTAAAGGTGTCTCTGACAGATGTAAGGGCTCAGATCAGGCACTGTGGTAAACACCCCTCCTCACACTCACTGTGGATAACAGTAGTGGGGGTTGAGGCAGTGGCGGTGGGGGCCACAGGGGCGGCCAGTGGCCAATCCTGGAATCAAACTGCTCCACAGTCAGCCTGAAGTATCTCTGTAAGAGGCTCTATCCAGGCAGTTTATGGAACGGACTATGACACTCTCCCTGTGTTCATTTCATGTACCCAGCTTTGGTGTGTCTGGTTTGCAGTCTACGGTGCAAAATAGTGATACAAATAAGTTCCGTTGGTTTGTGTCCATTTGTTTGAGCAAGAGACAGACAGACAGACAGACAGCTGTGGTCGAACTACATACACAGTGAATGTTAAGCACCAAAATCCTGAGTGTCAAAATGTCAAAATATGTTAAATGTATCTGCAGTTTGATGTCTGTAAACAGTATCTACAGTATATCTAACAGTGTCAGACTACACACATTATATATCTATCTAATAGTATCTAAAGTTCTAAAGTATATAACTAACCATATCTAAAGTACAGAACAGTATACTGTGTTGAGCATTAGAATGGTTTAAAAGGCACCAAACTGAACTGGTGCAATTCATTAACATCAGATCATGATCCAATATAATAAATAATAACATTTTAAAAAAGGATAATTATAGCCAATTATATGATTCTCATTCTCATAACATACACTAAACTATTTATATGGAGCTCTGATTAATAATTAAATTGATTACCACAAACAAAATGACAGTATCAGCAGCCAGTAAATGGACTGTACTTGTATAAAACCTTTCTGTCTGTCTGACCACTCAATGTGCTTTACACTACATGCCACACCCGAGAGGTGACTGAGGAGAGCGAACAAAGGGTTAACCAAGGGTTTTATTATAAAGGAATCTGAAATGTTAATTTGAGTGAGGTTTGATTTTCTGAAATGTTATATTTCTGTTTTCTTACAGAAGGGAGTAACAAAGTGAGGCCTCTGAGCCACAGCCACAGCTATCAGTTTCTTCCCCCTACCAGTAAGTTCCACTAATGTCACTGTGTTTGGGTGTATTGTGAGGTATTTTTCCAAACTGGTGGTACTGGCTAGTGTGTATGTGGAGCTGCTGTCAGAGCACAAAGTCATTTAGTTACTGTGCTACTAAACCTACAAAAGTGCTACAGATTGACAGCTGGATCCTTAACCGGGACTTTTTATTCCATAAATGAACTAATTAGCATATGGAAAGGACTCCTATCATTATCATTATTACCACAACCAAAAACAGACCCAGATATATTGTTCAGTGACTTTGTGGTTTAAACTGTTGCTGCCCTAGAAAGAATACTTAGTTATATTTATAATATAAATCAATTCTAATCTTGTTCAGGACATCTTTATTGCCAAAGCCTGAGTGTAATGTGAACTAAAACCTGTGTGTGGGTTTTAAATGAACATTGTAATGATAATAGTCGATAACTGTTTGATAATCGCATCGTAGCGATCTGAAATCGGAATCAAATCAAATGGTGAGGTGCTTTGAGATTCCCACCACTAATGTAGGGCCACTTAAATTGAATCAACTGACAGAGAACAGTGTTGATTGTATGTGTATGATTCTGGATTATCTCTGTCAGCTAAAGCCACACACAGCACCATGTGCCTCCATCTACACTGAGATATACTGGCAGAGGCACAGGCATTGAACTTGAACTACTTCACTTTACACTCCACTTCTGTTTTTGCATTAAACATTTGCTCCAGTGATTCATTATTTCCACAACAAACAAGCAAAAGTATCTTTATTTAACACCTTTCAATCAGAGCTTGGTTCATAGTGACACCTCCATTTTGTAGTGAGGATGTAACAGAAGAGAAATGAGAACTGAGACCTTACATCACCTGGGATCCATAATTTGTTTCAATTGACAATTTTGCTATTTTTTATTATTAAATGAGATGCATAGTTTAGTTTATTGCTTCATTTGACAGGGACAATGCATTATGACAACTTTTCTGAAAATATTAGTTATGCTGTTACCATCTATGAAAAGGTTATCAGATACAATCAAAGCTTGTGTCTGTTGAGTGCAGCCAAAGTAAATTACTTGTGTTTGTTATACTCATCTGATACAGTTGTAAGATGCTTAGCAACTTCATTGTCTAAGACTTTGGATATAAAAGGCAGCTTGGAGATAGATCTGTCACTTTGAAAAGAAGAAGGTCCTCCAGTTACAGTTACGTTTCATTATAGTGCTGTGATATTGGTCTTACATCAAGTCAAGTTCAGTGATAATAAATATTTCTAATTCACTGTTTTCTTTTCAGTGTCTGAGCGTTCCTGGCTGGGGAAAGCAGCTGGTCTGATCAGAGGAGTCTCAGTGGGGAACTTCAATACTGGGAGAGACTAAGTTTCAAACACTGGGAAGAACCAGACCCTGTCTGACAGTCAGCAGGACAGTTAAAGGAGAAAGAAATAGTTTCTGCCATCAACACTCCCAGATCTGCTGCATCCCAACATCTCTGATGACCAAACTGACCAGAACATGTGAAAGACGTGTAGACTCTCCTGATCTGGACCTCATGTGTTCCTGCTGGTTCTACAGCCTGAAGACTTCACTGAGGAACACAAACTGAGACTACAATCAATCCTTGAAAACTTCAGTGATCAATCATTTGATCATTCTCTGGTTCTGATATCAACACCCAGAGAGGAGAGTCCAGGTTTCATGGAAGAATATATGGAACATCCCCCCTTAAAAGACATGATCAGAGAGTGTCAGTACAGGTTTTTGAGGCAGAAGAATCTTGAACTTCCAGAGCTGTTAACACGCTTGGGTCAAATTGTGAAAGAGAACAATGGAGAGCATGTCTGCTGTGATGTATTTGAAGATGAGGATGCAGGTTTATTCATGACACCAAAGTCTGGGTCTGAACTCATCAAACCAGCTTTAAACCTGGTTCTGTGTGGGAGGAGAGGAGCAGGGAAGACTTCAGCAGCC